AACTGATGGGATCTGTATTTGGCAGAATGCCAAGAAAAATCCATTCGTGCTGAAGGGGAAATACGTCAGAGTTCTTTATTGCGAGGCAGGTGGAGTCGTGTCCACCTTTGAAAAAAATTGCAGAAAAGGCAGGGGTGGGAAGAGGATGGGTCCTGAAAGATTCATCGAATGGCAGAGGAGAGAGACTATTCAAACTGATGAGAATGTTGATTTGAAAGAGGGAAGAATGTTATTGTTCTGAGGTCTCGTTTAGGGTGAATAAGGCATGTAGGTCCGTTCAAGGGAAAGAATGTAAACAAAATAACGTTCGCAAAAAGCAACTGAGTGGTCTTTTGTGTGGGAACAGCACCAGTCTATGCACAATGACAAGGCCATCCAAACTATGTACAATGACCATCATAGGAAATATTTTATTTTTAGTGCACCTAAACGCCGCACCCGCTGAAAATTTAAGTTTTAAACACGTAAACGCCGCGACGTTTCTTCCGGAAATTATGGTATTTAGAAGTGTATTATACCTATTATTGTATTATACCAGTTTTCTCCTAGAATTCCTCCCTGAAGACATCCTTGTATTGTGAAACCCTTTCATGCAGCTGATTCTAAGCAAACTTATAACTGCATTCATATCCTAATTTTTTCCGTTAATTTGTTTTTTGAAGCATTTTCATATACATTAGATTCAGATACGGTCAGAAGGACATTAAGAAAAAGGAATTTCTGTATGTACAGGTAAACCCTGCTCATCATGATTTACTAATCCATCAACTAATGTACATTAACCAAAATTGTATTAAGTGAGTAAAATAAACAGCAAGAACTGTTGTATTTCATTGTACCAGTTTGCATAAATTTGAAAATCATATGTCCAATGCAGGTTTTAATCTTAGCCAATAGGCCTGTTGCATGAACATTTTCAAGATTTTCCCCTATATGTAATATAAATACAAACTAGTTTTCTCGTAGAATTCCTCCCTGAAGGCATCCTTGTATTGTGAAAACCTTTCATGGATCTGATTCTAAGCAAACTTATGATAACTGCATTCATATCCTAATTTTTTCCGTACATTTGTTTTTTGAAGCATTTTCATATACATTAGATTCAGTAACAGTCCATTTGCAGTTAGCTTAACACATGTGAACTTTGCAAAGACTCATTTGTTGTGTTCAAGCAAAATTAACTTCCCGTTTCCTCATAATCTGAAGTGAAATACGTAGACAAAAAATGCCAGTTCATGAAAATTTAAGCGAAATTTTTAGGTACCCTATGTATTATGAAATGAAACAGGGCTGGCCAAACTTAATGTTAGTAAGAGCCACATGTTTGAATTTAGAAAAATTCGAGAGCTGCAGCTAAATTTTCCAAAAGTCATAAGTCCATACAGTCAAAAGTCTTTAATCGGGACGTCCATAATCCGGAATGATCTATAATCCAGACCTCAAAGCAACAAACGTTTTTCGCATGCGCATATGCGTTTATGCATGCGCGTTTAATGTGTAACGGACGGTATAAGTTAAGCTAAAATTATCTAATTATCTATTTCAGTTAATGTTGCAGATTGCGTTGTTCCTTAATCTTCTAATTGGAACCTTTTTTTTTTTTTGCAGACTGCTAGAGCTTTTTTTTCAGACTATTAAGCTTGAACTTTCGATTATGTCAAAAAGAATTTCCGATTCTAGAGCTGCCGAAGGATCTTCAAAGCGAAAGCATGTTTCAATGTCCATCAAACAAAAAGTGGAATTACTGCAAAAAATGGATAAGGCATATCCATTGTTTCTCTAACCATTCCGTAATCTGTTTATCAATTTCACGCAGTTCTGCGGAGGAGGGGAATGTCGTGGCGCACAATGAACTGGAATTTGACCTGTCAGCACTATCCTTATCTTCAGGGCAGATGTCTTTGATATGATTTAAATCAAATTCCTCATCATTATAAATATCACGAATATACATCAAATAGTTTTCTGGTTGCAATTTTGTAATTTCGACTATGCGTAATGTATGCTTTATGCATGCGCGCGTTGAAAGAAATGTTTAATAAAGTAGACAAATAAATATTAAGCTTTTGTTTTGTAATTTTTGATACCCTTTAGGTCATAATTGCTCTTTATTTCATAAATTATGGTTTCATATTTTTAATTTAATAATTTCTGCATGCCATCTTATCAGATTTAAACTGATGATCTAATATCAGATTTAAACTGATGATCTATAATCCGGAAAAACCGATAATTCAGAATTGCCGAACTCCCGACGCTTCCGGAATAAAGACTTTTGACTGTATTTACATCATTTGAAAAGTAGTGCTACACATTAAAATGCAAAGAAGCATTTGCTAACGTTGTAAAATAATAACGGCCACTGAGTAGTTGTAGTTTATCATGTTTCATACATATATTTTATTTGCATAAGAATCTTACCACTTGCCCCCAAAAGCAACATTCTTGCCACCCTCAATATATAAGCTCCAAATCATAGACGATGGCCTCCTTCCCTTCTACATTAGCATCTGTGTAAGACATTCTGATGTAGTATGATAGCACTTAAAATTTTGAATTCTGTCATTTTACAAATTTCATTTTTTATTATGCACTCTCCTAAGACTTTCAAAATTGAAAGATAATGCTCATTTATGCTCTTTTGATGTCAAATATCGGCAAAGAAATCATTGCTTTTTTCGGTACTACAGTCAAAAGTCGTTAATCCGGACTCGTCGGGACTTCGGCGATTCCGGATTATCGATTTTTCCGGATTATAGATCATCAGTTTAAATCTCGTAAGATGGCATGCAATTACAAAATTAAAAATATGAAACCGTAATTTATGAAATAAAGAAAAATTATGATCTAAAGGGTATCAAAATTTACAAAAAGAAAAAGCTTAATATTTATTTGTTTACTTTTATTAAACATTTCCTTCAATGTAAGTTGCTTCGTTTCATGTGATAATTGATAATACTTTCTCTTTAATTCTATTAAACAGACATAATTTCTTGTTTAGTTACAAAGTTCCGCTGTTCAAGTCCTATAATTGCTGTGTTGAGAATACCGACTAATTTGTCAGTCGAAATGTTTTCGTTTTCAATAACCTCTGGGTCACTTTCTTCACTATCGGAAGCGAATTATAATGACGAGGAACTTGATTTAAATCATATCAAAGACGGAGTATATCGAGATGAAATACTACACTTAGTACGGAATTATAAACCAAATAAAATAAAAACATCTGCCCTGAAGATAAGGATAGTGCTGACAGATCAACTTCCAATCCGCGGCGTGAAATTGATAAACAGATTTCGGATTTCAAAACGTACTTTCGCTTTGTAGATACAAATTACATATTAGTAAATATATATCGGAAATTCTATTTGATATAATCTTTCTAATCTATCATAATCTAATAATGACGTTTCTGCCCCCCCCCCTCTGCCGCAGAGCAGTATGAAATTGATAAACAGATTTCGGATTTCAAAACATACTTTCGCTTTGTAGTAAATATATATCGGAAATTCTATTTGACATAATCGAAAGTTCAAGCTTACTTTTATAAAATTGCTGTACAGTGCAAAAAATAATAAGCCGGATCCAATTCGAAGATTAAGGAACAATGCAATCAGCAACATTAACTGAATTAGATAACTTTAGCTTAGCGTATAACTCCGTTACACATTAAACGCGCATGCACACAAACATATTCGCAGCCGTAAGGGTCTTACGCGCTCTCGTAAACGCCTGTGCGCATGCGTGAACGAGACGCATGCGCAGAAAGTTTGTAGCTTTGAGGTCCGGATTATAGATCATTCCGGATTATGGGTGTCCGAATTAACGACTTTTGACTGTATTCCGTTTTGAGAACCGTAAGAAATTTGCAGCGAAAATATATGCGCAAAAGCGCCAAATCTAGCGTACATGCTGATTTCAGATTGGGTAAGTTTATATAGTTCTATATTTCTTAAGATGCCATTGAAATGCTAGTTTAATTTTTAAATCCTTTTTTGATTTTAAATTCTTTTTTGATATCCAATGAATTTAACAATTTGGGAATTGCCCATGATGAAAAGGGTGCAATAGAATTTTGGGTAAAGTGCAGAATCACCCACTGCTTGACGCGTTTTTAAGAATTGCACATACTCAGTATCCAATGTACTTATCGACCTATTTTCACTTTAAAAAAAAAATCCCAGAATTGCACAAAAATGGCACTGCGCACACCCTTGACTTGATAAATGTCCACATCGACCTGTTTTCACCTAAAAATTAAAAGAAAATTGACAAAAATCCAATTGTTTCTACCCTTGTAAAAAGCGACAAACAAATAAGTGGATGATTCTGCCCTTTACCGAGAATGTTTTAAAAAAAAAAAGCATCATTCATTATAGAAAATTATGTTTGAACAACCAACGAGATGAAATTAGTGATAACTGGTAGCAAAATAGCGATGCAGGCATCCATTCCGTTATGTTTAACAGTTTTTATATAAATTATAATAATGATTTGAAATAGTTATTTACTCTTATGCTTTCATTCAGTCATGTTTAGCCTTTTTATATAAATTATAATAATAAAAAGTATTATATGAAATTAACCTTTCATCTAAATTAAAACATCAATCTTAGATAGTTATTTACTATTATACTTCCTTTCTTGCGTTAGGGTTGCCGCCATTATTTTTGGCAGCACTAGCATCAACAATAGTTTGGCGATTTTTTACGGCCCTCAAAACTGAATAGTACCCTTTTTTCCAAACAATTTACTCTGCATTTGTTTTAAGTACTTTTCTACGAAAGTAAAATGACCGATCCTAGCATACAAGAAGTTAGAAATTTAATGCATTTCATTTTTTAAATATTTTTTTTATTTTATGCTATTTGTTTGTGAAGGAATGCTATAAACTGTTAAAAGGCTCTTGACATTCTAAAATATTTCTTTTATTTAAAGTATAAACAGAACTGAGAAACTGTGTGTGGTATCCAACTTATGATTTAATTTTAACATTTTAGGCAGAACTACCTGAAGTTGGATTATTGTCATCAAAAAGATGAGCTTGAGTAAAAATTACCTCCTGGAATGTTTATCAGCAGACAAAAAGGCCACCATCCCTCTCAAAGAACAGTGTCTTCTAAAAATAGCAATACATCTATGTCTTTATTCTGAACTCAGAAATTACATTTTCAAAGCACCACAGCAAAATCTTGAAGCATCTAACCGGGAACAGAGAAACTTTGAAGAACTTTCCAAGACAATAATTAATACTCTTATTCTCCCATTTGATTTGCACGGAAAATTGCTTGCTTTCATTCATTCAGTGAAAAGACAGTTGATTTTTTGGATTAACCATCTAGAAAAATTCACCATTTCACATGATATTTCTGCTTCTGTTGTCACACCAGGAGACTGGACAGTTGAAGGTGTAATTAATGCAAGGGGAATAGCAAAGCGCTTAGTGATTGATGGACGAATCCCTGTCTTTCATCGTTATCATATAGCATATTCATATTTTTTATAAAATTCTATTTTGTCTTTGTGGAAGCTTATTTCACCAGTACACCAACAAGTCCTAGTTCGTCCGTCAGGTACTTGAGAATTTTGGGTAATTACTGTGTGGTCTCATTATTTACCATGATTGAAAACTAAATAGGAATTTTTTACATCTTTCTATTGGCTGCGATAGGAGAAGAAATAATAACAATAATTAAATGTTGTAAATCGCTGGATAAAAGTTCAAGTGAGAGTAAAGTTATAAATGCTGCTTTAGTTGCAGTGCAAGGGATATATTGTAACAGTTTCAGTTTGGAAATGAGCAGGGATGAATCTCAAATGCTTTTACTGGGTTATACAGATATTTTGTGCATGCTTCTGTCTCAAATGACTGCTGAGGAAAGACTATCATTTTTTAGAAGGGTACTTTATCTGGAACACTTTTCTGAACATGACTATTGCATCCATGAATGCTTTTTACAGCAGCCATTCCAGAGCAATTTTATGCCGCTAAAACTGAATTGAAAAAATATTTTAAATGCACAAGTATTTCGTAGGCTCCATGCTAAAATTGCAAACATGAAAAATTGGTACTTTGATATAAATGCATTTGAATTTTTGGGAAAGGACATTGAGAAAAATAAATCTCTGTATGTACAGGCAAACCCTGCTCATCATGATTAACTAATCCATTAACTAATGTACATTAACCAAAATTGTATTGAGTAAAATAAACAGCAAGAACTGCTGTATTTCATTCTACCAGTTTGCATAAATTTGAAAATCATATGTCCATGTGATAAAACTGCTGAACAGTGATAGTTCAATGCAGGTTTTAATCTTAGCAATTAGGCCTATTGCGGAAATATTTTCAAGATTTCCCTAATACATATATACAAACCAGTTTTCTCCTAGAATTCCTCTCTGAAGGCATCCATTTCTTTAGGCATATAGCCTTGAATTCAGTTGTGTATGCTTGAACAATCCTTGACTTTCTCATCTTATTAGTAATTTGTAATAGCTGAAAATTGCTTTATCAGGACATTGACATAGTTTGAACCTATATTTTGTTGTTGAGATCAGCATTACGAATAACTGTTTTGCTTGTTTGTTAGTTATTGCAATGCACAAAATGGCTATCTGCATAAGGCAAGAAAAGCCTTCACGTGGAACTTTCTGAGGAAAACTGGCTAGTACTGGTCTTGCTCACAGGGAAAGCTACAAAAATACTGTTGCAGCAATCCCCTTCTCAGATTCAAATCTAAGTCGAACTATCAGTGTTTAGCAGACTAGTAGGTCTCATGTTGTTTTGCAATTTGCTTCTTAGTCACCTTTACCCCCACCAGTTTGAAACTTGATCACAGAAGGTAAGGAAAGCTAACTTATTTCTTGTAACAGGAAGCTGTCCCATGTTTCTTAATGTATTGATATTTTTTGTTTTTCAAATAAATGCAAAAGTGGAATAAAAGATGCCCCGCTAAATGTTTATCTAGCACTGCATGTAATGTAAAAAGAAACTGGATAATTAATTGCTGTTGTAATTTGAGGTAAATATGAGCTGGTTTTCAACCATTTGAAGACTGGGTATTGGCAACTGTAAAAGGATGGGAATCTTGAACCTAATGCTTTCCCCAAATCCCTCCCTTCTTGCAACAAAGATCCTTGTGTGTTGTTTAATGGATTCTCAGTGGGGTGAATATATTACACAGAGAGAAGGGAAATGTGGGAATTAGTGACTAGGCGTTTAGATGCTTTTCCTCTGTGGTGGAAAATTTATATAATGCAAAGGCCTTTGAAAGAGATAAGTGGTTAAGACTCCAGGGACTTCAACTTTGACATTTCATCTCAATCTTCTGGCCTAGAAATAGGGGGGGGGACATAACCATTAAAGTGGACAACCCTGCCTTTTCAAACAGGAAACACAACTGACAGTATAGTGGCCACCTGTCCCGAAAAGGTTAAAAAAGAAACCCAGCTAAACTATAAACTTCAGAAAATTAATAACACTGAAAATTCTTACTTAACATAATGAAATATGCTTTTGTAAATTTAATTTCATTTCCCCCCTTTAATATTTAAACTTTTTATGATGAGTAGGCATGTAAAGTTTATATATTATCTAAGTAAGGATCTGAATGTAAAATATTAGCTCATATATCTTGTGCAAAATGCTGCAGTCAGTGATCAAAATATTGTGTTATGAAGTTATTGAATAATTTACATTAGTGTTCTTTAATCGTGTATAATTCTATTATCTTTTAATATTTTGAAATGATTTTATGGTATATGACATCTTAATAATTAGCTTCTGAATAAATATGAGTGCTGATTCTAAAGAAGTTCCTTGCCGAGAAGTTATTACTTTCATGTGTAAATTTCACTTGACAATTTCATTAAAATGTAAAAGTCATTGTTAAGTCAAAATATTAGAAAAGGCAGTATTGTTGTTTGTGTGTGTGTAATATTATAAATGACGTTTCATTAAAATGTAAGAGTTATTGTTAGATCCAAAGTCTGATTTTGGAAGATTTTCTGAATTAAAGGAACAATACAGTATTATTTTCTTATCATTATCTTAATTTCTTATAATCTTTCTTTATAATGAATGTAGTAACTTTGTTAATGCAGTGAATAATGTTACATACATTCAGTTCCATTGATGAAGCTTTGACGTAGGCTTAATTTAATATTGAACTCAGGTTAATGCATTCTGTTCTTTCTTCCCCCCTTTTTTTTAAAGAAAAAAAGTTTTTGATGATTCCTGTGCATCAGTATTTGCTGAAATCACATTTTAGAATTGGTGATGAATAGTAGTTTTGTACTTGGACTTGATACTTTGTGATGTAAGCAAACTATTGCTATGATAACTTTTATGTAATAAAATCCTGGCTTTTTGAATAACAAGTATCGTGATATACAATTTTATTTCTGTAGTCTTGAGTTGAGAGCAAGCATAATTTTCTGTTTGTTGTCAGTGTAGTAGTCAATGTAGTAAATTTATAAAATTTAGCTTATTCTGTGTGGCATTACATTTTATATGTTGTTATGTGAAATGTGTAAATAATTTTTTGAAATCCTTTTTTAGAATCCATGGATGAAGCCATTGCTTCTCTTTTTTATATGTTAACTATCATCTATTAACTATTTTTATATGATCATTGGGTTGCAAGATATAAAGGCATATTAATATGAATGAAATCAGTTCATTCTTTCTAATCAACAACAAATTCGTAAATAATTTTTGTTGCCAAACCAGGAAACAAAACATTTTATTCTTCAGATAATATGTATGTATGATGTCATTATTTAAATTTAATGTAAAACTGTATTGTTTAATCAGACTTCAATATAATGTTTTGATTTAAAAAAAAAAAAAAAAAAAAAAAAACTTACTAAGAAATTGCTGGTAAAAAAATCAAATAACTATTTTTCTATGCTAGAACTATTCATTGCTCAAAAAGATCTAAAAGCAAAAATCTCTAAAGCATATGAGTTTTAACACATTGGGAAACGGTGCCAAATCCCTATGTCTTTAGAAACACAAAGCCATACGGGAAAAACTTAATTAAAAATCCCTAAAGTGGTATTGAATCTCATTCAAGTTAGCTTTTTTAGGGTTTTTAATGAATATCTCAGCTGATTAAAGTCGTACAAAAGTGAGAATGATATGAATGGATTTCGACGAATTTTTGGAATCAGAATATATGTCTTGAAATTCAGCTAAGTGTCGTTCCATAGATATTTGTGAAAAAAGAAATTGGTGCATAGCCAAATCCCTTTAATAGAGAAAAACCCAACAAAGGAAGTGAAAATTCGCATTGAATTTATTGTTCGGAAAAGCATTTTTTAATTAATATCTCGGCTAATTAAAGTCATAGGAAGATGGGAATGGTCGAAATGGCTTACCAGGAATTTTTGGAATCCAATGGTGTGTTTTGCTAAGCCCAGAAGCGAGCGATTCGAGAGAAGATGATGTTACAAACAAACAGATGCACACAGATTTGCTTTGCCCAGAAGCAAGCAGTTTGTAAGAAGATAAGGTTACAAACAGACAGAGGCGTACAAATTTTAATATTATAGATAAAGCAGCTTTTACGTACAGTGATTATTTGGTGTAGAATTATTATTTGTAAACTGAGTTTAGAACTTTTGTATTTGGTAATTTTAGTGGAAGGGGAGATGTTAATTTAGTAAGTTCTTTGTTCCAATATATTTCATATAGGGGTACATGAAACTTGTGAGTTAACTATTTAAGATATTATGCTTTTAGGATCCTTTTTATTTTTCTTTATTCTTGGATAAATGTGAAGTTCATTGAAATTCTTGTGATACAAGTTTAAATTTTATTACATTTACCACATAATGTAAAATTTTTATATGCCACATAGGTCATTTTTCATGACTTGTGTGTTAGTATAAAAATTTGCTGTTTTATATAAAGCTGCTTAAAAGCAAAGCAGTGTTGCTTGAAGTTACAAGACCAGCTCTGTATGGCTCATGCCATATTCTTTCTAAGAATTTATTACGAAGAATAACTGAGCTTGTGTTATGGTTTGTAAGCTTTTTTTCCTTAATAATTCAACGGAAAGAAATGTGAAAATTTTCAGTTTCTTCAAGACAATATCTCGTTTGCTATAATTTTGGTTCCCAGCTCCTGTTTGGGAAGAATAGTTCTCCAAAACAACAATTTGGTTAATGTAGCTGTAGGCCGTTAAAGTAATATAGTATAATTTTTTCCTTGCCGCAAGCAGTTTTCCGACAATAGGAAAACAGGTTTTGTTTTTTCTTTTCAGTCTTCTATGGAATTGCCTGATGCAGTATTCTAAAGTAATGTTAAATACAATTTTCAAATCAACAGCACTGTATTATATTTTGAACAGTGAAACAATGGTAGTAAGCGACTCAATTTTCATCATATTTGTGTAAGAACATGCATATTCTCATTAGTACTTCAGAATACTGAATTTCATTCCAGAAGCAGACATCAGTGCCTCATAGTGTGTCTGAAACAAATTACGACGTTAGTCTAAAAGTACAATTAATGAAAAGTGTCGTATGTATATGTGTACTCTAGCTGTTACTTTATCCTTTTTTATGCATATGAAATTTCCTTCAGCATCACAATTGGTTAATCCTTCTAACATATTTTAATCATAAGGTTTTGAGGTAATATAGAGGGTGTTGCTGAGAAAAATGTGTGCACATTTCAAATACTTTATAAATGCAATATTTATTAAAGTGCACCTTAATTTTATAATCCAAACTAGAGCAAAAAAAAATGATAAATTATTGTAAATATTTAGGTTAGTCACTATTCTGTTTAAGGTGTTCATAATGCAGACCGGTAGAATTGTAAAATCAAGAATAAATTCACTGTTTGAATGTGCATTGTCTTCAAATGTCTGTGTTTGTTTCATTAACTGTTGTCAGTTTTGTCATTTTTTATGTTCTTACTAAAAACACTTCATTGTCATAAAATCTGGTTTGGGCAAGATTTATTTAATGCTACTTCTTGATCCAATCTGTTGGTTCAGTATTTTTTCATCAAAAATAGGTCTTAATTCTAAAAGAAAAAGGAAAAGTTCATCTTACCAGAAACAAATACTTGATACTATGTTGTAGCGACTAATCTCGCTTGTCTGATAGCAGAGCAAGCCCACAAAATTCATCCTGGCAAGATTGTGCCTGTTATTGGCAAGAGCCTTTAGCAACATACAGGTGATAGTACGACTTTGTTCAATTCCGCCTCCAGTTTCGAAGAA